CCCTGTTCCCTCCGGTTCATGGCAACAGGGTCACAGAGGGGCGRATGGCCCTGCTCATCTCCTTCATCATTCATTTGAAGACATTTGCCGAAGAGATTAGGAAAGAGGGGCGCTCCTCCAGCTCAACTGAGGAGAGAATGGGATGGCAGGGGGTCACTGCAGCCCCTGACCGCAGATCCCCCGGGGAACAGCAGGACTGTGTCACTGCAGCATGGTGACCACTGCAGCCTCAGCGCTGTGCCTGRAACCACGCCCCCTTCCAGACAGGTCCGTTACTTGTGCCTTAAATACATATTAAAGGATCTTTCTTTTTTCCTCAAGCACGTTAGAGTTGGGTTTTGTATCTCTTGCAACAACAACAACAAMAAAAAATGTTCATATCTTAACGGAGAAGGTGCCCAGAGTCAGATTCTCAGAGAGACGGTCTTTGGTGGACACGCGMTTCCTTCCCTCCCTGAGTCTCCGAAGCTCTCTTCCTGTAGACAGTGGTGGGCAATTGCCCCCCAGGGGGCTCCCTCTTCACCCCATCATCAGCAGGGAGCTGATGAGGACATATCTGCCGAGGTCCAGATATGTTTAAGGCACCATGCCTGGTTCTCTACGAAGGCTGTTTGCTTCTTTTAACTTGAATTGTAAGAATACATCGTGGACAGGCTCGCCCCTGATTTAAAGACCAACAAACTGAGATGCCGGGGGTAAGCACTGAAGCCCATACCGCTAATAGACAGCAGTGTGAGCATCGGGACGCAGCTCCTCTCGCCTGGTCAGATGGGTTCCTCTCCCGTCGAGGCTGGAGTCACACTCAGGACMGCAACAGTCACTACAGCTTGAATGTTCAGCCTCAGCTACACCCAAGCCCTGGGCTGCGAACATTGCCTGCAAGATTTCTAATACTCACACAAAACTGCAAGATGGAGATTATTTTCTTATCATCCACTCTATTTTATGAATGGAAATACTAGAGCTGAAAAATGTTAACTTGCCCAGGGTGGTACAGTTAGGTCAAGAAGCGATGGAACACAAAACCACAGAGACTCCAAAGTGTTCTTTCGGGTAGGTGAAATTCTCCCCCCCCCCCAAGTCCCAACTGGGAGATCAACATCTTGCGAGCTTTGCTTTCTCTCACCCTCCAGTCTCCCTGATCCATAAAGAAAACTCTTCTCAGGAAATTCTGTCAAATGCCATCCACCTAAATACTTTATGTAGGAAAAACTTGAGTTCCCAGTTCAAATAAGAGTCTTCTAGGCTGGGTCCCTGATGAATGTGTGCTGCCAACCCAAACGCTGCAGGCRGGTGACTGAAGAAATAAGGACGCGTGGGCTATTTCCATACAATGGAAGCCCCTTTCCAGACCTTGACCCCACAGGCAGCCCATGGAGATTTCCCTGGGAATCCTGATAAAATGCAGATACCAGAAATAAGCCCAGGTCCACTGAGTCAGAACATATGGAGATGAAGCATCAGAATCTACTTGTTACCAAGCACACAGGTGACAGTTGATGAGCATCCAAGTGTCAACCCCGCAAGATAGCAGGCACCCARAGGGACAAGGCTACACTTCATGCTCCCCTTAACAAGTTGCCCTAGTGTCTCCTGGACAAATTGTGCCCTGCTAACTACTGAGAACAGCAACAGTAAGAGCAGTACCGTGAATACRCAAAACTTAAAATCAGGAGACAGAGCAAAGAGAGAATATAGAAGTAATGACAAAAACTATCCATTACCTACAGTTGTGCCAGGTTTTGTTGGAACATATAATGGGAAGGTTCAACCTTGTCTTCAGCATGTGTGTGTGTGTGTGTGTGTGTGTGTGTGTGTGTTGTGAGGGAGGGGTCATTGTAGGCCTTGGGGACCAAGTAACATTCATGTTCGCCTCGGAAGGTTGGGTAGGAATGTTGAAAGCATAAGAAACAGCATGTGCAAAGGCCCTGAGATGGAAAGGTATAAAGGGTCCTAGAGACTGAAGGAAAGAGAGGTCTATTGCATGGAAAGAGAGGGTAACACTGTGGCATYAGCATGCCCATGTAGCAAATCATGGACAGGTTTGTGCACCTTGATCAGATCTGCACTTTAAAAATTATCTGCCTGGCTGCTTTGTAGAGAAGACACAGGACAAGAGAGAAGGGAGGAAAACCAGTGGGGAGGCTGTTGTTATCCAAGCCTGAAATGAAGGTGATGTCACTGTGGATGATGGACAGAAGCAATACATGCTGGAAGAATAAGAATGAGTGAAACAGGTGGTATAGCAATACCAGACCTTAAACTRTACTACAGAGCAATAGCAATAAAAACAGCATGGTACTGGCACCAAAACAGGCAGGTAAACCAATGGTACAGAATAGAGGACACAGAGATTAACCCACAAAATTACAATTACCTTATATCAGACAAAGGTGTTAAAAGCATGCAATGGAAAAAGGATTCCATCTTCAACAAATGGTGCTGAGAGAACTGGAAATCCATATGCAACAAAATGAAATTGAA